AAACAGCGCACCCCGGCGGGTACCCGGATGTGGGAGCGGGGCCGTTACGGGTATTACATCACCCTCCGCCCCGGGTCCCGGGCCGCGCCGCGCCTGCGCGGGACCGGCGCGAGGGGCGGTGACGTCATCGGCCCCACCCCTCTCCCTGAGGGGTGAGAGCGGCGCGAGAGCCGGTTGGGATCCTTGTGTCCGTCTGAATCCCGGTCCGAATCCCGGTCCCGGGGCGGTACTGGCTCAGCCTACCCGAGGGCGATGGAGCGAGCGGGCAGACGGGCGGGCGGTGGGTCCTGAGTCGCTGGCGGCATCAGCCTCGTCTCCCTGAATCGCAAAATCCATTAGGTTGGAAGAGATCTCTGAGATCATCGAGTCCAACCTGTGATCCAACACCACCATGTCAGACAGACCCTGGCACCGAGTGCCACGGTCACAGCCTTTCCTTCAACACCTCCAGGGACGGTGACTCCGCCGCCTCCCTGGGCAGCCCATTCCAACGTGGAATCGCCCACTCTGCGAAGAAATCCCTCCTGATGTCCAACCTAAACCTCCCCTGGCGCAGCTTAACACTGTCCCCTGGTCCTGAGGGGTATCCTCTTACCCGCCTGAACCGGAGCCCCGCAGGTTTCCCCGCTGGAAGCACGACCGCTGGCAGAACCAGCAGCGGATTACCAATAATGAACGCATAATGGGTTTAATAATCCCACGGGTTTCAGCCACCCTTTGATCGAGGCTGGCCTGCGGACAAAAGGGATGGCGGTGCGCTCGGGGCAGCGACTGCCCCCCGACAGTCTGCAGGGAACAAACTGAGGGGAAAAGCTTTTAGACACACCACTGCTTGGTCTCAGGGAAGGGGGGGATGCTCCAGGAGGCTGCGATGGGAGAGGGGTGGTTCTGGGTGGGGGGAACTACCAATTCCGGCAAGCCATGGTTAAACCCTGTGGCTGGGGATTTCCGAGCTGGAGTGGGTGCCAGGAGGAGGGAGCGCTTCAAGGGGAGGATTAGGAATGCACAGGAGCTCTGAGGCTGTAAAGAAGGAATTAAATGCAGAGGGAGAAATGCTGAGGGGTACTGGGAAAGGTGAAGTGGGTACTTAGCAAGTTTGTCTACTCTAGGTGGTTTCCATCCTAAACAGAAACCAACCACAGCAAGCAGAGGGTAGGTTTAGATTTGAAATTAGGATGAAATTCTTCCCTGTGAGGGTGGTGAGGCCCTGGCACAGGTTGCCCCGAGAGAAGCTGTGGATGTCCCATCCCTGGATGCGTTCAAGGCCAGGTTGGATGGGGCTTGGAGCAACGCAGTCTAGTGGAGGATGTGCCTGCCCATGGCAGGGGGATTGGAACGACATGGTCTTTTAAGGTCCCTTCCAACTCAAACCATTCCAGGATTCCCTAAAATGAATGTTTGGAAAGCCCTCCAATTGCTGGTTATGTTCCCACTGTAGATATTCATCGCTGCAAGTTCATCAGGGACTAAGGGCGGTTTATCGGGGAATATTGGGCGGATCAGACCAACAAAAGCAAAGCCCTACCCAGAGATAGCTAAAAGAGCTGCGAAAAATCCAACAAAAGCTCGTAACTGTGGGGCTTTCCTATGACAGATAAACTGACCGCATTTCGTGTTTCGGCACGATTACAGAATCTCCAGTTCCAGTTGCTGCCTGTGCCTGGGCGGAATGTTTGGACCCAATCTCCCCGTATTCACCCTAATCGTGATCGCTGTCACGACACTGAGCACCGCCAATCGTTCTGTTAACGATTCGGGGCCTTTGATTTAGAAATTTCGAGCTTTTGTAGTTAAATGCGGTAAAATCTGTTAGTGGAAACATACCTTTAGAGATATTTAAACGCAAAATATATTGAAAATCCACAATGAAAGGGAGATTATGGAAGGTCATGGAGTAAGTCCCTTAATCTTCATCAATGCAATTTTGAA